TCAACATTATTTGCCGAAGGCTGTATACGGTGATCATCATCACCGTCAATTCCCTGCCTTCTTCTTATTAAAAAACGATTTTTTAACACTTATACCTGGCCACACTTATATATCCTCGTGGAAAAAACTAGTTGCACACAGTATTTTTAAGATATTTTCCTTACGAAAACATACTTTTACAAAAGTGACCCCATATTCTGATAGCGCTTGGAATTCTCTACAATTCTGTATATTTATATCTTGTCTTGCATTTATTTGCTGAAAAACAAATTGAATGCAATGACCGCCCCCACATTGTCAGATTCCCACGGACTGCATTTTGTTACTATTTCTTCAACTTGCTTTTTAAATTTATCATCACTATAGAAATTGCTTTTTGTAAAAGTAATTGTATATTCTGATAGCGCCTAAAATTCTCTATCATCCTATATATTTATGTCTTGTCTTACATTTATTTGCTGAAAAATAATTTGATTACAGCGAAGGTACCCCCAACTGACAAGTACCAAAAAGGTGCATTTTTTCGCTACTTTTTTAGTTTTTTCCACACCATCTGTTTTAAAAGATTTTTTACCGACCACGAGAAAGAGCACATTCAGAAGTACAAAAGAACTGACTTCTCACTTTTGCAACCCTTTTTTTACGGAAATAGTAGCAAAAGAAAAAGGTTCAGGTGGAAAAAAATAACAGATTTTCAAAGTTTTCATTTTTTTCGTCTTTCGTATAATCTGCGTAGTTTTCTTGATTGAAGCTCTAAAATTAAGCGTTAGGTATGGTTTTGTAGAGCATTTAGCGGCGCATCTTTTTAAAAAAACATTAACCTTTGGGTCCTAAAGAAACACGAGAAAAATAGAAAATATTGAGATGCCACACTCATTACAATTTCTGGAAATCTGACGATGAGGGGGTCGTCATTGCACTCAATGTATTTTTCAGCAAATAAATGTAAGACCAGATTTAAATATACAGAATTGTAGAGAATTCCAAGCGCTATCAGAATATGTGATCATTTTTGTAAAAGTATATTTCGTAAGGAAAATATCTTAAAAATACTGTGTGCAACTATTTTTTTCCACGAGGATATATTGTCAACAATTTATTGTTTGTTTTCGATCTCGTCAAAAAAGCGTGTGAACTCTTTCTATCGCCGGTGTCTACATATGATCTATTGTATATTTTCCGCTTCTACTTCTGACCTTCACTCTACCTTCTCTCTTGCAACTTTCGAGGAAAGATACAAAGCATGTTTATGTAAACGACTGAACATCATTCAGCTATATGAAATAGAATTCTTGGAGTGTGTACTATCTTACAAAAACGTCGTAAACAGTCTCTTCGCGCATTATAACATAAAGACATGTATACAATGGCTACCTCAAGGTAGATCAAAGAAGAAAATTGTAAAATGTTCTCAAATAAAAAATGAAACGTTTTTTGACCGATTATGTGACTTTGCATGGAATATGTGACACTAATGTATATGTGATTTTATTGTACTGTATTTTATAACTCCCCATAGGTTGTTGCTCAACTATATACATACCCGACTGTCAGCGCCTCAGAGGAGCATTCGGTCAACCCCCGTTTTCTCTAATAAAGCTCTACACAAACAAACAAATAAACAAACAAATCATTATCTGACATTAGATGTATACATGTTTTTGCATGTTTGCATGTTTTTATGTATAATTGATTGGTCATTGTGATCATTTTTAGCGTCTTTAGAGATTGCATTCATATCTGTATCATTATTAGCCATTTTATTCAATATATTGAAATCTACAGAATTTATAGTCACCTCTTAATAAAAAATGGGCCGACTTCTGTATGAGTTATTTATAGTCGCCTGTGAATATGCACGATGCTTATTTATAGTGGCTACAGTACACTTTCAGTTAATTAGATGATTCAGTTAATTATAGATGAAGCGCTTATTCTTGAAGTGTCTTACTTCCGTTGAGCCAAATGGAAGAATGACATTTATTGTCTTCTTTGAATGTCTAGTAACTAGGAGTCAAATGGAGGGAATACTAAGTAAATTGTGACTGAAGCTGATGATATGAAGTTTGAAAACCCCCTAGATTTCAATTTCTTCTGTCACAGTTACAAAAAGTTCCGCTAGGATAGATTTTTTCAATAAATATAGGAATTTTATATTTATCTTAAAGCAGTTGATACAAATTCATGATTAATGTTCGCTGAAAAGCAAGTGTATATCGGTTTAGTATGTGGAGCAGTTATTCTAATTATCGTATATATTCAGTCGCGATTATATAATGCAAAACATGATAAAACATTTCACATATCATCGTTCTCGTCAATATCGTTACGCAATGAGCAACGCCTATTCCAATTAAAACAGAAGTATTTGTTAACAAATTTAGAATTATTTTCTATTAATTCGACCATTAGTAGTAACAACACCAAAAGATTAATTTATCGATGTAAACGTATTTGCGGTGGTCTGGGTGATCGTCTTCGTGGTATCATATCTGGATTTGTTTTAGCAATACTATCAAATCGTCATTTTGAAATTGACATGACATATCCTTGCGCAATCGAGACATATTTAAAGCCAAATCTGTATAACTGGATATTGAATAATGATAAACAACGAAAACCGTTACAAGTTTTTCTATACGCAATCGATCATAATAAAGAATTGATGACTAGTCTAAGACGTACGAATTTCATTGAACAATGGTTAAAATATGACGATATCATATTAAGTACAAATATTGATATGGTAACACCTGTATTAACAAACAAATTGATAAAACACACTTCTTTAGTTCAAATGATATATGAAAAGAAGATAATTCCGACTATGAACAATTTATTTCCATTATTATATGAAATATTATTTAAACCAACAAATATCGTCGAACATAAGATTGATAACATTTTGAGGTTGGTTGCTATACCGTTTGTTATTGATCCATTGTGTGTAAGCCACGACTGAAAGTGCTCTGCATCGTAAATTGAACAAATGTCTTTCGTGCTAGAACACTGAAAGATCGCCTCTATATAGAGAAAAATTGAGACCTATACAACCTTTTCGCTTACAGAAAATGTCGTCAGTCTCTCCAGCCTATTCTGGAGGTTTAGTGAGTTGACAGTAGAAAGTAATCTTCCAGTGCTCTAGCGAGAAAGATCTCTGCTCAATTTACGATGCTGCTTCGTAAGTTGAGTATGTTGTAAGAAGGGCAAGAGGTAAAAAGCACATTCCGGAATAGGTACAAAATTTCTGGAATGCCATTCAGAAATGACAGAATGTCGCCTTAGAATGGCAGACTGGCATTCTAGAGTAAGAGAAAGTTTTTGTTTTGGTTCTAAATACCATAAAAATTTTGAGTCTGTAACGAAATAAAGGTGTCAGAAGGACCAGAATTTATTTTATTTATTTGCTACTATCCCGTTGTCAAAGAAAAAAGATATAATTTGTCGTTAGAAAAGCAATGACGCCTAAACAATTATTTACCGTGTACACGTAAAAGTCTGTCAGACGCTAGTTTACTTTTTGCGTCCGATAACAAATAGATGGCAGTTGACTATGTATATATTATTTTTCCCTAAGGTAATTTCAAAATAGTGATGTGTTTGCTTATCTGTTACTGCATCGTTTACTTTCATGTTTTTAAAATCTGTTCTTTCGATATTTTTTTGATTTGCTGTGGTTATTGTGTGAATGTGTGTCGACTAATTCATCTTGATTATTTTGTTCTCCTTCTTCATCGTCACTTAAATCAGATTCAAATGTTGTTATTGTTTCCGTTAACAAACATTTATGCAAACGTTCAGATATGAAATGTGATAGACTTTGTATGGTATCGAGATGTTGCAGACATATTTCATGATAAATGCCAACGTTTTTTAACATTAATTTAACTTGTTTAAAAGCATCTAATACAATATTTAATTACAATATTTTTCGATAACTTTTGCTTTCCATTTTGAGATGTCATGTTCAGTTATTTGATTATCTTTTATTCGTGTTTTCAGTTTATGATGTTGAGGAAAATAAAGCTTATCCTTCGCACCGCTAATAGCTTCATCATTATTAAATATTGCAAACATATCATCATTATTTCAGGCTAAACTAAGTGGCATATCATAACCTTGAACCTCTAATATTTCTTTTGCCACAGGACCGATTTCTTTCACAATAAAATTATAAAAATTTATACCTTTTAATTTCAGCACATCGATTAAAATAAGATGTTCCATTTTTTTTACCGTTTAATTGCGTTAAATTGATGAGAAAATATGTTTTTCAAAATGAAATAGAGTAATAGCTTTACAAACGTACAGATTAAAATAAAAGAGACGTTATATTAAATCAACGTAGCAAAAAAAGGAATTTTTTTGCTGTATAGAATGTGAGTGCATACTTTATTGTGCACACTTTATTGTTTGTATCGACTGGTAACACACGGTAGATCAAGCACATATTGAATATACATGTAATGCAGAAAGAAGAAAAAATGTGCAATGTATTAAAATGAATGATTTGCTTTCGCATGTAGTTTCTCTTACAACTATTTTTATCACCTAAAAATTCAACTAAAAGCTTGTCTACTAAAAAATGAAATGGTAGTCTGGATTGACAGAATGGCATTCTAGAATAAAGATATTCCGGAATGGATACACTCGCCTTGTGGTGCTTTTTCCTCCTTGAAGAAGGGGCATTTTTCCATAATGACGACTAATTTTGACGAGATGGAAAATTTATTGCAGGATTTTTGCCTTAAATTTGTAAGTTAAATGCTTCGTGAAACGTGAGAAAAACTGTAGTCGCGACGTGAGCTTCCACAACTCATTCACCCCTGAACTTATATAAAAGAATGAAAGCAACATTAGAATTTTACTTAATTTTTGTTCTGAAGTGTAATTTTCGCATTAAGAATCGTGTTCCCCATTGAGGAATGTGACTTTCTCAAAAGTTTCAAGTCGGAAATTTCTGAAAATAAAAAAACATTTTCGGAACAACCATCGCGAAATACGAGAATCGAGTCGCGAAATAGTTCTTCTACTCTATAATCGATATAAGAATAGCGGTTGAGATAGGATCATAGCGCAATTCCTACTATGGATTTAGCGTGAAAGTTAACATCGTATAGCTTGTAAGGTATATTTGGGTTTTTCAAACATCGTGATGACATTAAGCCATTGTTGTTTATTCAGCGTTACTTTAGATTATAAGTTCGTATCGATTTTAGCAAGTTCAGAGTGATATGTGGTTCAACTGGAAAAAGTAAGAGAAATAGCAATCGTAGAGACAAGAGAAAATGACAGGAAAACGACGACGTTATAAATAAGGATGTGCGGTAACCAGTAAATCCGTTTACCGTTACCGCGGTAAATTTCGTACGGTAAAAAGTCTTTTACCGTTACCGATTTTTTGTCTCGGTAAAGAAACTATTACCGTTCATTTTTCCGGTAAATTTTTTTTACTGTTGTCTCGTTTCAATAAATGTTGTCTCCTTATGTTTGTGTTTCTAAATTTTCTTTAGAAAAATGAATAAAAGTAATCTGAGTCATGAGCAACAGCGCAAAACAATTTTATTTTTTCGACGCTACATATCCTTTTTCTATTCTAAAATATAGTCTGTTAGAATTAATTAAAGTTTGTCTTTCAGGAACATACTATAACTAGGCCCATCAGCTTTGAGATTAACACAATTAGATTTTGCATTAATCGTCCAGAATCCGGTCGAGGAAATTCGGTAAAAAGTATTTACCGTTACCGCGGTAAAAAGGCTTTTACCGTTGCCGACGGTAATTATCGGTTACCGCACATCCTTAGTTATAAATGTACTCATGCCACAAACTGAGATTCAGGCAGTTTCCTATCTGTTAAGCAATTATTATCATGGCCACAATTTCTCTATCGAATAGACAAAAACTTTTGGACCAATTGGCTCGCGTCTGATGCGGCACGTTAACCTTCAGCTTTACCAAAAGGGCTTTATACTAAACAAAATTAAGAATTTCACCACAAAATTTGAAAAAGATTCAAACCCTTCAGTTCCACAGTTATTGTGATTAGCCGATTTGTGGGTACGAACCTTTCCCTAGAAACCTGATTTATTCAAGAGCTTTCTATTGATCACCCTAGTGAATGTACTTGAGCCAAGTACTTCGGAACCAACAAAACTTACCAAGTTGAGTGAAAACTTGTCAAAGACTTCCCAGGTACTCAGTAAATAATTAAATACCTGCATCAGGTACATTCACTATGGTTAATTGCGCAGGTAACTACATAGTTTGACTAGCTCAATATATTCTGATAGAGTCGGAAGTTAGGTTATCAGCCTGTAATAACCGATCTGATGACAGTCTTTGGATTTCATTCGTAATATACTAGGACAACTAGTTTCAGCAAATTTGAGAAAAAACATTCCAAGACGCAAATGAAAAATGACGTTTAGGCGCGTTTGTGAGGCTAAAATGTTTTTATAAACGCGCAAAAACCAACTAAAAATATGCATTTTATTCAATTTTTTATTTTTAACGATGAGCTTTCCGTACCGTTATCTAGATAAAGCGCTAAGAAAGCTCCTTAAGTGGCAGTCCATTATGTGTGGATAAACTTTATGGTAAAAACGATGCATCTAATCATAAGTTATTCTTTATTTAGTTGTGATTTGTGTTCGTTGTTTATGTTTAAGGTTAAATCATTTAGCTAAATCATCATTGCTATGTTTACATATACGAACGTATTCAAATCCATCGAATCCTCGTGATCCGATGGTACCGGATCGCCTGCACACGGCCGAAGATATGTGCAAATATATCGGCACTAATTCGACAACAACAATATTAGAGAAAAATAAACTTCAGATATTTGTTGCCAGTGATTCAGCTAAAGCTGTTTCAACAATTTTACAATATTTTCCTAATCAATCATTGTCTGTGCCTGGACCGATTGTCCATATTGATAGACCATCAGGCAAAGCCAACGTGTGCGATGGATTTTCTAAAGTAATCATTGATTTTTATTTATTAGGCGAATGTCATACAAGTCTATTGACAAGCAGTGGGTTCTCAGCAATGGCTAATCGTCGGCGATTAAAACCGTACGAAAATTTGTTTATGTATCAGTCAAATAAACGAAAAATAATCAGATGCGATGATTCTCTTAAAGAAACAAAATGGGAATCAATTAATAGCACTCAATACATCTACTGTACAGAACAAGGAAAAGTAATTTCATTCAAGCATTGGTGATAAAGTAATACATCTGTTATAAAAACGTTATTTTTTTTAAAGCTTTTTTGATGTATTATTTAACAAAGAAATTTGTCGGATGAAAAGAAGCTCTCCATAGTTGACTCAGTAGAATAGTTTGGGGGCAAATAGAGACCGTCCATTCAAATACATAGAGCTTTAGTTCACAATTGCTTGTTAGTTAAGTCTGAGAAATAATTAGTTCAAAAGTACAACATTTTGTAGCTCAACTCTTTCTCTCTGTTAGGAATGTTCTGTTCTCGGTTCCGGTTCTCGAGTTAGAACCGCAATTTCGGTTCCGAACTTAGACTAAAACCATGGTTCTCACGAGGGAAGGCCACCAACTGTTCCACCGATTTTGAGACGAAACTTAGTGGACAATAGGTAATCGAGGGTGCAGATTCTGAATATCACAATAGTTTTTGCGTATGGACCTCTGCCGACCCCGGTTTTTGAAAAACCAAGTTTTCAGAAACTCTAAAAAATAACCACAACGTTTCTTAGTGAGACATGACTGTAGCCCGCACATTTCTGATTAAAATGAGACATCTCCCAGCTCATGACCTTTCTTTGCAATAGAATTTACAAGAAAAGCTCTAAATTAATTTCTTCTTATTTCCGTAGCTTTGGGCTGACAATGAACATTTAGGGCTTTTCTAGTAAGGTCTATAACTTTGCAAAGAAAGGTCATAAAGAGCTGAGAGATATCTCATCTTAATCAGAAATGTGCGGTCTACAATCATGTCTCACTAAGAAACGTTATGGTTATTTTTTAGAGTTTTTGGAAACCTGGTTTTTCAAAAACCGCAAAAACCATTGTGATATTCGGAATCAGCACCCTCGATTACCTATTGTCCACTAAGTTTCGTCTCAAAAACAGTGGAACAGTTGGGGGCCTTTCCTCGTCAGTTCACAGCTTAGACTGGAAAAGAATTTTCCGCGCAGTAACACTTTAACAAAATAGAATTCCTTTTATTATATTAAACGAAGGATTTCTTTTAAATGATGACAGCAAATATGTCTTTTTGTAGCTTTATCAATAGTGTGTTTTCATGTTGCTAAAAGAAAGTCAAGACAAAAAGGATAAGGCAGAAGAGAAAAGAACAAATTATTAGTCCTCTAGCATTCTTAAGAAAAAGAAGAAGAAAAAGAAGAAGAAGCGTTCTTTTATAAAGAACGCTTCTTCTTCTTTTTCTTCTACTTCTTCTTCTTCTTCAGAATGCTAGAGTACTGTTGTTCCACCCTTTTTTGTGCCCCATATGAAATACAAATTTGATCGCCCGTTCAAACTCGTTCTTTTTCTTTCAATGTTTCTTTTTTGTTTTTTGTTTGTTCAATGTTTTCTATCGTGTAATCTTAACAGTTTTAAGAGCAAATAAACTGAATATGAATTATTATTAAAAAAACAACCAAAAGAAAAAAATTAAATAGATTTTATAAAGAGAATGAACATTTAGTGTAAAATATTCGAATGTTAGCAAAATGTTTAACATACATTCCGTGCATCAATATAGCTTCAGAGAGCGCATTTAGTATCTCTTTTACATCACAGAGGAATCATGAAACGTGACGCAACAAAAATCTGATGTTTTATAAAAGATAAACTATAAAAACTGCATGTAACCAGCAAGATTATCAATCCTTTGTAACTTTATTTTTTTGTTACTAGCAGACTCCTAGTAGCAGTTCTCTGATGGCTAATACACAAATATAACTTTCAATGGGTACAAATCTTTAAGAAAATTTTCTTCTATTTCATGTAAAAGAAGTTGTGCACGAGTATATCTTATGAACGGTAAACATAGCTTTCTCGAAATAAAACTGTAGTATCTGTTGTTACAAAAGTCTCGGTCTCGGCAAACAGGAGACATTTAAAAAACCACTGTTCTGATTCCCGATGAAGAACCGAAAATAAGAGAATCGAGTACCGAACATCGCCACGCTCTGTACCGTATAATTTTGAGTTCATTATCCCTTAAACTAATTAGACCACTTAAGATATAATCAACTGCATCAGGAATTGTCTTTTTTTCAATTCTATACTTTGAGGTAAATAGAGATACTCCCTCGTAATACAAGAATTATGACGACTACCCACGATAATACCAGATCAATCGACATGTGTCCTGTTGCAGTGACCCATATAACTTATAACATGATATCAACGTATAACTAATAAGATGAAATGAAAGAAATACCACGAATTAAAAACAAATTTCCTTCTGTCGCCTTTTTATCAAATTTTTTTATCATGATATATTCGCTTAACACAATTACGATTTCCTTAACGACACTGTATTGAAGGTATCCTTTATAATTGTTCATTCATTAAAAAAAGTTTTGAACAAAATGGAAGTAACTATCTTTCCGACAGGAAGTTACAAAACAAAATCTGAAACAAAAGGATAATAGAAAATGAGAAAATATCATTAATGTATTATGTAGGACACATTTTCCCGACGGGAATCGAATCTTAGATTAAAAGATCATATTTTTCAAAGCATAATTTTTCTTCTCTAGACGAACAATTAGATCTATGAGGAGGATCCTTCGGCAGCATCTTTTAAACTTGTTCAAAAACATATGTCATATGGTTTTTTTTTTGTTTATCTTGGAATGATCTTATGATTATAGTTAAAAAAGAGTCAAAAACACACATTCAATGTGGACGCAAACACTCTATGAGAGAGAGAGAGAGAGAGAGAGAGAGAATCGACTTTTAAAAGATACAGAATAGAATCATACAGAGTTCAAGATACTTTTTATATTTATCGATGTTGTTTCAAGTCAAAAACATTTGAACAATAACTAATTCGTGACACTCTCATTATTTCTTTTTCCTTCTATTTTGTGTCGGCATAAAAAGGTGAATGTTTAGGAATGCTTTATACAAAATCCATTAAAAACAGATCTCCTCATATAACAGGAATATGCAACAGAAAGTAATCTTAAGTTCTATCAACTACTAGGATTATTCCTTCATATTGTCATTCTCTTTTACGCGTCATAATTGTTCGAATTAGAAAAAAAAGAATATCCTTTTTTTTTTTTACGGAGATAGTTCTTTATAGCAGAGATGAAACAAATATGAAAAATAAAAGAAGAATATACGGAATGAATGAATGAATGTCATTTTTAATAAAGTAATTTTCTACATATTTTATAATGCGCTCTATTTCATCATAACATACATAATCAAACGATTGATGATCATAACGACAACAACACAATTTATAAAAAAAGAACTTGAACTACTCTGGTAAGTTAACTGACTAATTAAATCAAATTATATTTAAGAAAGATAGAGTGTATGTCAAAAACGGCATGAATTTTTGGTTCTATTATATTCTGCTGATTTTCGAAAAAAATGATTGGAGGAATATACCAGTTGTATTTTCCCTTAGAATCAGCAAAGAACATTTAATTTATATGAAAAAGAAATTTTTTTATTTCAAGGAGATATAATACTTTAATATAACAGCGTGTTTGGATGAATAATAGTCTGAACATTATCCATATTGTTTTTTTTTGTCTGTTATGACCTAATACAGGAACAAATGCTCGCAAAACTGTTACAATTAATGTTCGATGTACAACAGGTAGGATGACATGAATTGATAGAAAGGACAATACCAAGACTTAATCTCCGATAAAACATAGGTATCATTTAAAGGGATGCTATACTGTGAAAAACGAGGTACATTTAAAATACACTTCAGATGCCTCAAGCACAACATCATTTTTGATCAGTAAGAAAATATTTCCATGTAAAAGATGGGTCACGATGCCCTACGAAGGCTGCTGGATTCCAGTTTTATGCACCAATGGTGACTTCGTGCGACAACGTGGGTGCTTAGTCAAGGCATTTTGAATGCATCCTCTCACGCAAATCAGCGGAGAGGATAGAGTCAAAAATCTTACGAGACTTTTAATTTCCAAATATATCTTAGTATATGTATGAGGATAGCGAATGGACAAACCGTAGTTTTCTGTTCTATTTAAATTTGATTAATTTATGTATTTGATTTGAACGAGTTTAACATGATTAAACAAACAGTCAGGACCGCAAATAATGGAAGGGCGTGGGAGAGTGCGCATCCCCCAAATAATTGAAAAAGATATTGTTATTTTATCTATTATTGTTTCTCAAAATGTTTTTTTGACTATCAGAGTTTCACTAAAAAGGTTTTCATTAATAAAACTTTCATTAAAAGGAAGTTCATTAAAATTTTTAATGAAATTCTTGTGCCATCAAAAACTTTATGTCACAGCCATTTTGTAGAAAACATTTCAATGAAAGTACCGGGATCTTCATTAAAAATATTTTTAATAAAAGTTCCGGTACTTTTAAAAAAAACATCTCAATGAAAGTTTTTTTAATGAACGTCATCTAGTTTAGAGGGAGAAATTTTATTTCACAATTCCCTAATATTCGGCTTCTATTTGTGGCTGTGCAAACATTAAAAATATGATACATACTAAGCTGAGAAGAATAAGCTAAGAGAAAATATTCGCAAAGACGTTGAGAAATTTCTACTGGAGCAGAGATAAAACATTTAAGCAGACTTTATTTTACAATAAGAGATAGATGTTGCTAAAAATCAGCAAATTTTGATAATACGGAAGAAATCATCTTCCAATAATGAATCTTCCCAGGTCGAACCCATACGGCAGTAAACCACAGTTTACGTCAAAATACGATGAAAGGAACCGTGGGGAAGGATTACGACTGTCGTAAACTGTGGTTTATGATGAAATACGACAAAATACGACGACAGTATTACGATCATCGTCATACTTCTCCACAAAACACGCCAGATTACAACGAAATACTATCGTAAACGTCAAAATAAGACGTCGTAATTTGACGTATTACGATCGTCGTAATCATCGTCCTGAGTTACAGAATACAGATAATCTATCATAGAGAACTGATAAGAAATAGTTTTAGATCCCCAGGAACCCATGGTTTTCAGAAAAAGTTTTAGGGTTATGTTAGATTAGGAGCATTTTAATCAAATCGACGTTTATATCAATACAAGTTACTTGAGTCAGGAGACCGATAGAAACAGACAAGCGTTATCTTGTAGGTTTGTAACAAACAAATCTGGTTTATTCTATTGATTCAAAACTGCTATTATCGTCTGTTCAAGAGTATGATAGTCACTAATGACAGGAGGAACAATACCAATACGGTGCTTTTTCTCTATTTCTTTTGCTAGAGATGTCTTGACTAGGTATCAGGATGACTTGATGTCTAGCACAGAGTCTCAACGCATTTCGATGTCTTAAATGTGACTACATGATTTATCTGTGGCTTATGGGTGATTAAGGGTCTTGACCATAGCTAGTGTATTGTGCCTTTTGATGCATTAATGATGTCTGTCAAATGCACCTAAGCTATTTTTTCAAAAAAAACAGTGACTTGAAGGTGTTTTCTTGAAGACATTAAGACGACTAATAGTAAAAAGATGAGAAAATGCACCTAACGTGCCTTCAAAACGTACTGTGGACGCATTCTGAAGGCAACTGAGTGATTTATCAAGACACATTTTTTGACAGTGTACATACACCCCGCCGATCTCGAGATTTTCTTAATAAAAAAAAACATGAGCACACATTATAGGTTTCTCAGAAAGCATTTATCGATGGCAACAAAATCATGTACTAGCCATCCACTCATATAGAAACTTTTAGGTGATTTCACGTTACATATAGATAGCTGAAAAAACTATTTTCTATTTAGAGATCAATTCAAGTTGAGAACCGTTTTTCTGAATAGATATAGATATTAATTTGAATATTTTCGAGCTTCGTGTCGCTCTTATCAACAACTTATTTCGGTATATAAGAACAATTTCTTATTTTATAAATAACGCTGTAACAGCAACGTTTTTAAATCATTTAGAGTAAATAATGGAATGTTATCAATGAAATATTTTTCCGCTTGTATTCTGACAGAATAAAGCTTATACCAAGTAACAGCTACGTCTCAAAAGAGATACAAATCCATATTTTACAATATATCTCTTTTAAGAAACGAATATTTTGGCAAGAAATTGCGTTTCTCAAAAGAGATACATTATCTCGCATTTCTATATTCCAAATAAAAAGTAGAAGCAATTAAACTTACCTTAAGTAGTAATTAGTGCTTATGTTTAACAAAAAATTATTTTTCAAAACGTTAATTTGTCAACTATTTGTAATTTTAATCTTCGCTATCTTCATCCTCATCCGTGCTAATATCCGAATCACGAGTTTTCTTAAACACTTCTAAATAAATGTATCCTAATGCCGACACATTTTTGATATTCTTCTAAGTCTATTTTTTCACTGAATAATGCTTGTCTAGTAGAAACCGGGTGAATTGTGACCAACATCGTGTTTTTTGTTTTTCTTCTCTCCTACCGTTCAGAACCGTTTTTATCTATACGTTGACATCGAAAAAGATTTTCTTTGAACAATGTGGCAAAAGCGCCTTTTGGACTTTGGTTTCGTACATAATCCATGATAATCTTTTGAACAGAGAGACAACATTGCTTTGAGCAGTATTATTTCTAAACATTTCGAAACGACAGTTGACGTTTATGATTTACAAACAGTTGATAAATTAACCTTTTGAAAAATAATTTTTTGTTAAATATAAGTACTAATTACTACTTAAGATAAGCTTATTTGCTTCTACCTCTTTGATTTCATTTTTATTTAGAATATAGAAATGCGAGATAATGTATCTCTTTTGAGAAACGCAATTTCTTGCCAAAATATTCGTTTCTTAAAAGAGATATATTGTAAAATATGGATTTGTATCTCTTTTGAGAAGCTACGCAAACAACTTCTGGTAAGAGATCCGTCCATTAATGCGGTGGAGATAAATTGTCCATATATTCTGTAATTCTAAGTAGAGTCAATTTGAGTGAATAACGGTAAAGTATCGATAAAGATTATAAAGACAGGATCCCATCAGACACAATCGTGAAATAAGGGGTAACCTTAATTTCAGTTCATTAAACCTTAGTCTTCACAATATTGAATATTTCGTTTGGAATAAGTTTAATGGATTGAAATGGAAAGCAGAGACACAGACTATACAATCGATTATTTTTGATCTTTTAAAAAAGTGACGAAAACTAGGTTAGGGCTGCAAATGTTGAGCGTTCCTTTTTAGCGTTTTCTTTGAACGTGAACGCTAGAGCACGTTCGCGTTCCTTGAACGTGAACGCTAAATGTGACGTTCTTTGAACGTGAACGCGAGTGTTCTGATGAACGTGAACTTTATTTATACGAACGGTGTTGATCTTGTGTGCGTTAGCGTTCACATTCAAGGAACGAAACGTGAACTTTTACAGGCCTAAACTAGGCTGATTTTGAAAAAATGCCTGTTAATAATCATTAAAAGATTTTCTCATGAATTTTTTTTTAAAAAATACGGATTAAACGGGCCCATAGATTTTATTTGCTCATTTGATAGTGAAAGTTGTCGTCTTTCAAATGAGATATTTTCCGACTGTTGAAATTGCGTTACGTTTTTGAAGATATTCAAATTCTACAGAAAATCCAGACCAGTTTTCGAAAAACAATTTTTTGCATAACATATTAGACACTGCAAATAGACACAAATTATAAACTATTTTAATATTCTATATATATGTGGCAATCAGGATCCTTTTTTTTCTCCTCCTTTTACAAAGAAATTCACACGGAAAAAATAAAGCATTCTACTAATACCATGATATCAAAGAATTCATGTTCAATATTTTGGATGAAAGTTTGTGCTTTATTTCTGTATTAGAGTCTCCTAGATGTTTTCTTTTTAGGTTTTCAAAGATTTTTGAATATTTCTTATTCTCTTCTTTGAAAGTTTCAAAAAATTTAAAATTTCATTACTTCGGTCATTTCGTGGACCCATTCTCAGAAAATATCTAATTTTTTTCCTGTCTATAAATATAAATGGTATCCAAAGATAAGTAAGAAAAGGCTAGATTGAACGATGTATATGCACCATAGTCATTTATTAAAAATATTAATAAAACACTTTTGCAACAAATGCAATAATGTTTATTAAATAAGTAAATTGAATAGATATCTAATCAGAGATCAAGTTGAGAATCATATTGATTTTACGAACTTTAAAATATATCAAAATTTGGAGGTAGTGCAATGAAGAAAATAGATTTAAGTAAGAAATATAGTACTGTCACAAAATGCATGTTCAAATTTTCACTTAAAACACTACTCGAGCTTTCGACCTTTATTCAAGGCTCATCATCCAGAGTGAATGACAAAAAGAAAAGGAAAAACTGTACATATCAATAAAAACTTACTTAAATCTATTTAATGCGTTATTTTTCTTTTTCTTTTTGTCATTCACTCCGGATGATGACCCTTGAATAAAGGTCGAAAGCTCGAGTAGTGTTTTAAGTGAAAACTTGAACAACATGCATTTTGTCACAGTGCTATGTATCTTACTTAAATTTAAAATGTATCTTTACACGTAGTATTTAATTACACGTAATCAAGTATATTTCAAGAAGATGGTCTTCTCGTTAATAATGTCAATTAAACTAGACTATTTGAGTGCAATGAATGATATTTTTCCACTTAGAGATTCAATTTTATAAGAAATATTAAATAAAGTGAATATATATTTTAGAGTAACCAAAGAAGTTCAAACGAGAAAAATAAAGTATTCTGTTAATATCATGTTATCAATGAATTCATTATCAATGTTTTGGAGAGAATTTTGTGCTTTATTTCATAAGACATATTTGTTGGCAAAACGTAAACGAGGTGAAACAATCACAGAAATACTCCTTGCCTATACATTTTTAGCTTTGTTACTCGGTATGAGATATATACTGGATCGACGATATAATCATGCATACCAAATACCACGTTTTCGTCCACAAGATGCAATGACATTTAGTAATAAAGATAATATCACCTTTTATTATCCGAGTAATCCATGTACAGATCAAATTGTTAATAGTTTCATGACAAAATTAAAATTAAATTGGCCAATGTTTAATAGTACTAGTAAGTTGAATTTCTCTATTAACTTAGAGATAAAAAAGTTTAGCATATCAAGGTAAAAAGTAAATGGGTTATTTTTTTTTATTATTCAGTTCAAGTGTTAATAGGCGTTGATAGTAGTTACTTAGAATATAAATCAAAGCAGACAATAACTAAAATGCTTTGTTGGAACATCTCTGTGTTAGATAAATAGTTTATTAAAAAAATAAATATAATCTAAAACTGTCTTTAAAATATGGAACTAACCATTTGTCTATATTTTAGTGCAATATCTTTCTAATCCTGACGTTTCTAGTTTACCAGTTGCAACTCAACTTCAAATTCATGCATTTATTTATTTTACTAATTTAAATTCATGTACAAATGCAACAACAATGCCTGATCAGATCACCTATACTCTTAGAATGCAAGAGTGAGTTAGAAACTATAAATATTTATAAAAGAAACTAATTAACTATTGTATGAGTTTAGATATGGTGCAACATACTATCGTGCTCAACGAACAATGTTATTAGATAATGATATTTTTTGGAAAAGAGCTCCAGAAGACTTTTGTCAATGTAATTAGATACTGTGATAATTGCTAATATTTTTCTATAAAATAAAAATTTATAAACATTTTTTTTTTAGCAAATGCCAGTATGCTTAATTATCAAACAGCCTTTTTGGGTGTTCAATATTTCATTGATTTAGCTATTATTGAGTATTCCATAGGTATACCAATGATAGACTATTCAAATGTAAGTGTTTTTACATCTATCTATAATAATATGAACAAATATGAATGTTTAGATTCATTTAAATCATTTTGGCTGTCCCGAGTACTATTTTGATCAATTACATTCATTATATAATTTTTTTATTCCAATATTTTTTTCCTTTATATATTTGATTACATTTATGATGAATATTGGCTACATTGTCGATGAACGTCAAAATAAAACAAAAGTAAATATCCGTTGACGACTAGTGTTACTAAAAATAATAAGAATAAGAATAAATTTCTAGGAATATTTGAGAATATTTGGTTTGAGAACGTGGATAAATAATCTTGTTTGGGTTTGTCGAGCAATGTGTATCTATATTGTACTAACAACGATTATCACCCTGTTTTGTATTATTGTATTACCAAGTACTGGTCAAAGACGCAATAGTGTTATTAAAGCAATGTTTAATTATACACATTGGACAGTTATATACGTAATATTATTTGTGTAAGTTGATTGATGATGCGAAAGAAAAAAACGATTATATTGAACATTTTGGGATTTTATTGTAGGAAAAATATTAAGATCAGACGAGAAAAGAATTTTCGAAAATCTTCTAGAGAATTTTCAAGATATTGATGCCCGTCTTAAATTAGTAGAGAAAATATACTAAAGTTGTTCTCTGTCAGCCGACAGCTGCATGTGTAATCCAATCCGTGCTTTTCAATATTGAACCGGAAGAAAAATAGTAATACAAGAAAAAAACAGTCTCGTTTTGATCCCTGCTATGACGACATCTTGTAAAGAATAATAGAATTTTTGTCACTGTACTTTGCATAGTCACCATATCATGACATATGCGTCAGGATCAGACTTTTTAGTTACTGAGATAGGTTTCTATCAGAAAGGGATAGACTTCAATTGATTTAACATTTATATCATTTTTTTTGTATGCTTCTAGATATTCCATTCACGTTTCAACGTTCAGCGTGTTTTTTGGTCAATTTTTTCGAAAACGTATGTTGTTCATGTCATATTTTAAATTTAATAACAAATTTGTCTTGGTTTCTTCTACAGCTTTACTAGCAAAACTAATTGCATTTCTATTATGGGTTATTACATTTATTGACTTTTATCCTGGTGTTTCAGTTGGTGTTCGCTATTTTATGTCATTATTTCCAAATAGTGGTCTGCTATTTTGTTTTGAAGTTGTTTTACAATTTGAACGCAAAAGCTGTATGATAAATCAAATGAAGTTCATTTACATAATAGATGTATAAAAATTTATCTTTTTCAGATGGTGTAACAACTTACAAAAAATTTTATACAAATTTATACACTTACCCACTTTATATTGGTATCATATTATTAATACAATGTCTGTGGTCAGTAATATTTATGCTTCTAGCTATTTATGTTGAAAGAATTAATCCCGGTGAATTTGGTGTTGCTCAACCATGGACGTACTTGTTTCGAGTATGCTTAACAACATATTTATAGGACAGTTAGTCTTTTTTTAAGGTAATCTGTACGGCCGAAATGTATGTGACTGAGATTTTTTGATCACGATAACGAAACTTGTTTTCAAAAAGATATAGTTACGATAGTCACGAGAAATTTTATACATCAACAGTTACTACTGTGCGTTCCAAAATACAATGTTCTCGGGTATAGTTCGAATAACTTTTCACAGAAATGAGAGAGAGACCTGCGATTTTCAGTTTTGAAAACTAGACGCCTGATCACATATTTCTGTAAGCAATTTTGAAAAAACTTTTGAAGCGGGTTTTTCAGAGGATGGATCTTTGGAAAATTAGCTTGGGTTTGCCGAAATTCACATAGAAATGTCGTGGTTTTCTTTCATGGGCTGATAGCTCGGGGTGTTCTGTTCAAAATGAGAGCCAAGTGAGACCTTGATTTTCTGCGATTCGGGCGTTGTATCGGATTTCCGACGAGTCCCAGGACTGGCATCCGGTGACTCTTGGTAGCCTTAAAGACGAATGGACTATGGATAATCGACCATACTGAGTTGCGTGGCAGTATTTGTTTTGAGAAAAAGTTTTAAAAAATCTACGGAAAAGCCAGTTTTATGAAAACTAGGATTTCCAGGCTGTTTTCACCTAATATTAAAAAAATCGCTATTCACTTAAGAAACATCAGAACAAGCTCAAAATCTCAGGATATGACCAATGCTGTCCACTAAACGTGATTATATGATCGAAAAAATCTAAAAGCATAGTTTTGTTAATAGGTTTTACAGAAACCCTTTTGGAAAATCTTAGGGTTTTTTAAAATTTATTTCGAGATCTCCTATAAACAGGATATACAATAGTTTAAATAGCGTCTTTAAGACTATCAAGAGTCACCGGATGCCAGTCCTGGG